ACGAAAACACTGCGAAAAACTGGTTTTTGGCTCTCTGTTTGGAAGAACTGGTGCGTAGATAAGGAAATTACTGATGAAATAGAAAATTATGAGCCGGCTGAGCTTAACACTTTTCTCGAGCATTTCTACGCCGAAGTAAACAATATAAAAAAGGTGAAGATTATGAACCAGAAAGGCTTAAAGTAATGATGGCATCGCTCGATAGACACTTAAAAAACAAAGGCTGCACCCTGTCCATTGTACGTGATCGAGAATTTAGTTCGTCCGAAGAGGTGTTGGAGGACAAAGCGAAACAGCTTCGCTTGGCTGGCCGTGGTAAGCGCCCAAACAAAGCTCGGCAAGTATCAGAGGACGAAGAAGAAATTCTCTGGAGGAGCGGAAAACTCGAGGTAATAACCCAGAATCTTTAATTCAAACACATTGAACAATTCCATGAACTGTTCAGCCCGTTTCTGCAGTTTGCAAACTTTAAAATCATCGAGCAAAATGTTGTTTTGACTGCACGTGTGATGATATTAGCAGCATTTGAATAATTTATTTTTGCACGTGGTTTACGCGTGTTGACTCCCTATCAAAGTGATTTTAAAGCTATCTCGCAATTTTTTCATGAATGTTAATAATAAGTAATCACATGATTTTTCTCGTGCAATTTGGAATAAATTATTCCAAATTGCACTCGAAATCATATGATTACCTGTACAAATGGGCCAATCGAACCTATTCTTCACGAAAACAAAATCGGCTGGAAATTAGGAAATTGAGAAAAACCTTCTGCTTATAAATAGACTGCTCCATGAAAACCTTTAGTTTGTTATTTTTCATTCCGGCCTGAGTCCCTGGGCTTGCTTAATATTTAAGAACTTTGTTCAAGAACTAGGGGCTCCCCTGAGTTTAAAATAACGGGCAGGGAACTATCAGAAGACACCGTAAGTTTTTCGTCAAAATTCAATACATTTCTAAGCGTAGTTCCTGGTTTGTAGGGGGAATGCTCGATTGTCAGATCGAGCGTTTTCTCCTTCGAGGTTATCACGACCATTATCTGGCCTCTTGAAAAGGCGTAGGCATCGGACTGAACATGTCTCTCCACCTGAAAATAAGACACAAGAGAAATGTTTTGGTTTTCTAAAATTCCATTTTATAAAACTGCAGTTTCGAAAACCATAGGACAAAGCCTTTGACCAAAAAGCTACTCTCAAGTTTATTTGGTGGTGAGGTAAGGTTTATTTCCCTCGGCCAATGAAGAAGTGTATTCTTGGTCTATGCATTTGTTATTGAAGCACAAACGTAATTCGTCTGAAAGGGGAATGGCCCAACTGCCTTAGCTATAGGCCTTTTTACTGTCCATTGGTACCTTTATTATTCGCGAACGGAATATCTCTAGTACTGTTTCTTAATCAACAACAACTTATTGTTGCAACAGAAAACTTACGGTAAAGACTTAAAGAATCGCGCCTCGGGTTTGTAACGTTTCCTTTATTAAAAGTTGAAAGTGTTAGAGTTATGGTATCATTTACCCATGGATTAAACGTGAAGGTTAAAAATAGAAGTACACCTGGGTTATCCAACTAAAGGCAATAAGTATCGCTCCCACGTCACCTGTCTGTTTTGTAACCATTCATCTCCAAGAGATCTTCTGAAGTGAACCAGTGTCTGAATAAATTTGTACAGCGGATTTTCGGTGGACATGAAAGGCCAAAGTGATTCACGGTTGTTAGGATCTGAACCGCCATTGAAGCCTTGCTCCGTGCCATAGTATACTATTGGGATCCAGTCCGCCATTAATACATACGTCAGCGCATTTCGAAGTGCGGTGTGGCTTGGGTTTAAATTCAGAAATCTTGGATTGTCATGATTGTCTACGAACCCACCAATGACAGATCTTACAACAAAAAATATCAAATGATATGAGAAAATAGAAGCATTCTTCCTGAAATCAGATCATAAACCGTGAAACTAGATAGCATTGATGAGATCCGGGATTTCGTCATGTCCCTTTTCGTCTGCTGAAAACTGCAATTATGGACTGTTAAAATCTATAAGGTCATCTTCCCAATTTGAACGCGATTTTGCAATCACGGGTAACATTAGCCTGCATAACGTTACCGTGAAAAAGATGTTAAATTGTCATTCTTGTCTCTAGCTAGTTCTGAAATACACAAGTGTGTCCACACTATTTTTTCGCGACAAGCGAAGCACGAATCGGGCGTCGAACGCGAGCCAAGTGCGACGGGGAAAGATGCGGAAAAAAAAACAACTAAAAAAATTAAAAATAATTTTCTGCGCCTTACTCAGTCGCCCGTGTCTTTCGCTCCTCGCTCGCCTGAAAAACACGAAAAAAATAACGCTTTATCTGCAGGCTAACAATTATTTACATTTTTTGATATTTTTACTTTTACTGTTTTAACGGCGTTGATGTCGATAATTCTTGTTCTAGGGCAAAAGATGGGTCAGTTATGTCTCACTTGCAACTCACCTGTCCTTGTAAATCTGATAAGCGTTTTTAACAGCGACGCTTAACGCATTGAAGTCCTTGGACTTTTCTTGAAATATTTTCCTGAGTGTCCAATAGGAAGGATAGGCCAAAACGGAGTCTATGTACCCCTGGTATCCTGCAACGTACTCCATTGATCCGCAGGGAGGTGGACCATTGTTTGCCTCTCCTATCATAAAACCCCCTCCGGCCTTTCGAAACTGTGCCCAGAATTCCTTGGGAACTTGAATGGTAGTATCAAGACGGTAGCCATCAAAGTTAAACTGGTCAGTCAGGTTATGTACCCAGTTAAGCAGGTTCTGATTCACGAATGGATGGCTTTGGTTAAGATCGGGCAAGTTAGCAAGCCAATATATTTCAATTTTCCATTGGTCTTTGCACTCTTGCGGCCATTGTATGTAAGCATGGGGTGGATGGTAGTACTCCTTTTTGTTAAAAGGAGCTAGACCTGTTGGCCATCCACCGTTAGGTGGATTTCCCATGTGATTGGCTACGAGGTCTGCCATTACCCAAACATCTCTATCATGGCAAGCTTTCACCAGTGACTTGAGAAGAAGGAGCGAGGGTTTTACACCCAAATAAAGTTTCTACAAAACCCGGGTCATTGGCACCATCGGAAATAGCTACAAAAAATGATATCCCCTATAGGTCTATCGTAAGTGTGGGTTCGGACACTATATTAGGAGGTGCTTCTCAATGCCTTTGAACGTTCCACCACAATAATCCTTCAGATCAGAACACTTTTGAGATGGCAGTTGACCGGATGGGGCAAATCTATCTGTGAGGATCTTGAAAAAAATAAATTTCATTATCTTTCTCCTTTTTTTATTTTTACCATTTATTTGTTTGCTTATTTTCTTTATTAAGTAGCTGTTTTAGCACTTATGTGTGACCGGCGGTCGTGTAAATTGTACTCACCTGAAGGTCTTGTGACTTTAATCAGGATTTTAACGTCAACAGTAAAGTCATCAATAAAGTTTATGGATTAAATAATGACATGGGTTTAAATTTTTTGAAAGTCGAACGATGACTGACATAATATCTTCCGGGGGAATTACGCTGCACATTCTTTGTTGATGGTGTGACACAGGGACCCCATACCCAACCTTCTCATACCACCAGTTAATACCACCGGGAGCCGGCTGATACAGCTGTACTGAGAAGCTTTGGACCCAGTCTTCTCTCGACCAGACAACTATAGTGATAAGGGCGCTAAGTATTCTATACCTACCGTTGTTCTTAATGGCCCTGCTGAATAGTTTTCCCAGAAATTGCGTGTTTTGACTTCTATGATCTAGCGACTGTATACCCATGAGACTTATTTAGATCCCCCACCCGCTGCGGCTTACTTAGAATGATCACTACAACCCCTGCGAGATCGACGCACAGTGCAATCTTTCTCATCGCTGACTGCAAGCTGTGGTAAGCCTAGTTTGTTCTAACGACAGGTGAAAACGCCTACATAATTTGTTTTACTATCACAGTCCTCTTGGGTATCTTCGTGTAACGTTTAACACATTAAAGTGTCAATATACCCATATCGAGCATCTTTCGAATCATTTTAGTGAAAGCATATTTTACATACCTTAATGATGGATTTTACTACCCTTTCAATATTTCAACTAGTGAATTCCCCACCCTAAGAAGGGTACCACTTTCTGGCTTTCCCTCCCTTTATAGGTCATGCATTATAAGGAGTGCCTCCCCCGGGCCTTACAAGAAATGAGACAACCAGCAACCCATCGGCTCCAACTTTGAAAATGAAAATCCTTTCTCTGACTTTCTCTTTAGTGTGTGCAGCATAATCAGATAGTTGTTATGACAAATGTCTCGGGTCTCTGAGATTGCATTGTGTGTCATTCTCACATAATATATACAGAACAGCGAAAACAGTCACTGGGTGGTGTTGTGGAACTGTCTTTTTGAGAGATAAGAGGGTTGATCGAGGAAATTACCTGATATATGACTCTTCCTTTCCATTCTTCGGCTGTTTTTCCGTTGCAGTGAGAGAAGATAAAAGCTAATAGGAGAGAAGACTTCAGAATTGTTTGAAAGGTCATGTTTCCACCAAAATATAAATGTGCAACTCGTCAGTCTCAATTGATCTCGCACTATTTTTAATAGTTCGCTGCATGACGTCTTCAGTCACGAGTTCAAAATCTACTTAACAATCCTTCAATGGGTTGGCATTCTTTCTCATGTGTATTATCACCTATGACGAATTAACCCGATTGTTGGGCCAAAATAAGTTTACAAGCTCAAGATCATTATCTCTTTTTATTCACCTTTAATACGGACATGTGAGCGTCATCTACTGGGGAAAAAAGGCATACCCCCGAACATATGGCGCGCGTGACGAGGTCTGTGATAAGGTGGAGATGGCCTGGAATCTAACACTGTTACTTGGAAACAGAAACAGACGTACAAAATGGCGGACAACACATAGGATTGTCCCCACAAACTAACTGCTCGCGTTTGACCCTTTTGCTTGCCTCTAATCCGGAACAAAATGACCGCAAGGAGTGACAGCGGAAACAAGGATGCTGGCGGTTCAGAAAAGACCGAAGAAACTTGTTCTGTACACACTAGTTTTGAAAAGAATGATGTGGGTAACAACCAAGCTGTTGTAGAATCGCGTCCTAATGGGAACGAAAATCTTCCTGAAGGTACAAGTTTGGAAGTTGAAGAAGACCAGGTAATTGTGTGAGCACTTTGGTTTATTTCAGTAAAGCTATAGGATTTGAAATTTGTTTTAATATCCTATGTAAGAGCACTGAGGACAATTTGAGGCAATTTACCACCATACATGTAGTTGTTTACAACTAGAAATACGTGAATCGCAGGACCTCGCGTAGCAAGCAAGCAGTAGGAACAAAGAAAAATTCTAAAGGCAATAGGGAAGAAAATTTATGAATTTAAAAAAACTTACGCTATTATAACAAAACAAAACTACAATAACTTAAAAAAAACTAAACAAAAAGGAAAAAAAGAAAAGAAGAGAAAAGGAGAAACAGCTTCCCTTCGAAAACGAACGCGGGACCTTCTACGTGCCAGGCCATTTCATTACCACTACACCACATGCTTCGTGATGTCACTCATTAGATGACGTCAGGGCAGACACCAGGCGATATATAGATTCATAAATAAATAGAAATATGGGGCGTCCAAGTTTGCAGCTGCAAACGCTGCATGCGCTACAACTCTCTTCGCGAGGAATAAATTTAAGCTCAAATCAAATTATTTCAGATCAGTTTTTAGTTTAGTTTTACCAGCTTTTCTCGACACAGGTCCTGCCCAGAGGGAATGGCCACGAACGGGACTCATAGGTCCCATGCAAGGTGCCATCCCTACCCAATACCACAACCCGTAGAGGTTGGTCACACCACTTTTAGGTCCCACACGAACAGATCAGTGAAAGTGCTGTGAGACAGGACCTACTGTTTTTCGTCCTTATCCAAGAAGACTAGAAAGTCTGACCATTTTCAGATGTCATTATAAAGGCAGCACTTTCTTCTCAGTTATTTACACACCCTGAGTGTTGGTTTGGCCGGGGTTTGAACTTGCAACCTCCCGCTCGGCAGACCGGCACTCTCCCAACCGAGCTAACCAGGGGGCCGTTTTAGTATTTTAGTTTTTGCTGTGTTTCTTTAATAATTTACATGCACTTTGCTAAGGAACCCGAAGAGGATGAGTTTGAAGAGATGATAGCTGAAGGACTGTCCCAGTTGGGAAGATCGGCTGATGGAACTCTTCAAGTTTATCTTAATCTCTTCCTTCCTGTAAGTACAATTTTTGCTATCATTCATCACATTTTTTCCTTTAAATATTCAGTCACTGCTGATTTTATTCTTTTTGTTCTTTTTGATTGTATTCTTTTTGACCGATGACTTTTTAGGGATGTGGACTGACAGATATTACGTGCCTACAAGAATATGTTCACTTACAAACTGTAGTTCTTTCACACAATTCTCTTACAGGTACCTATAAGAATAGACATATCTAAAATTTTGCATTTTCTTTTTGTGAACTTTGCATGTTGTTACTCAACAGATTGTTAAGGAACTTTTTTGCTGCTGCACATACATGCATTATTTTTATGTGCATCATGGGAAAGTCCAATTTGTTCTTTCCTTTAACTCCCGCAAAAGTATTTTTGTGGTGGAAATGTTTTTATCATGATCATATTTTATCTTGGCAAAAGCTAATAAGTCCAAAACTATGATTGTACATAGTTGGGCGAGATTCCCTATAGTAACTGTGGTTTGTATCAGGAGATACTTTTGTTTGATGTGTGAAAAATATTTTCTTTGCATTTGATACTGTTGTGCAACAAACTTCAACAATAATTATAACAATCTTTTTACTTGAGAAGGGGACTGTTACCTACCACTTGTCGGGAAATGAACCTAAAATCCTGTCCTTTAAAATATTGAAAATGAGCGTGAGGCTTGTATACTTGAGACTTATCATAGGCATTTCCTAACTGATACTAATTACTTAAAAAAATCTGCTGTGCTTCAGGAGCCAGTAACATAAACCGTCAAGTTGAACATAAGAGCTAATGTCGGACATTCAGCCCACCAACCGCTTAACTTTAACACCAGGCATTGGGAGTTACGTCTGACATTAGTTTCTATGTAACTGACCCCAGGGTAATTTCCTTTTACTGCATACTTATATTCTCTGTTTATCCAATTATTAGATTTAAATCCATTAGGCAGCATGCCATATTTGGTATCACTTGATGTATCACACAATCAACTCAGCTCTGTTTTAGATTTCTCTCCTCCACTTGGTCTGAGGGTAAGTGAACTTAAACAGATGACTTTGAACTTGGATGCTGCCACTGAATTGAGAACATTATTAGGCAGCATTCATTACTGCAGAGGAATTAGGAGATATATATTTTATTAAATGAGCAATATCTTTTAGATCTCCCACATCGTCAAAAATTGATGTCTCTCATCTTGACCAAAAGAAAAAAATTACATCACTCTTCCCCAACCCTCTTGAGTAGGAAAGTAAATAACTGACAGTTTTCACCTGAAAATCCTCTTCCACCCCCACCCCTCTCCTGTGGTATATATAATGACTACAGCTTGATTATATATTTTTTTAATTTTTGTTTTGTTTTTTATTGACACAGGAGGTGAACCTGTCTCACAACTGTATAGAAACACTTCCTGATCTTTCAGCTCATCATTGCTTGACAACTCTAATACTGGACTGTATCCTCATAAACTTGCATTTTAATTTAATTAATGTAATATATTTGTAACATTATCTTTGTAGAAAAAAATCATTCCAAGGCTAATAGAAAGGCTCTTCTTTACCTGTACTGATTAACAGGTGTGTAGTGTTTTGAATTTTTTGGTCTCTATTTCATCCAATGGCATACGACATGCTGTTTTATGGCCTTAACATTTGGATTTACAGCCAATTACATATCAGAGATGCAGGGTTTGTCTAATTGTTATCGTCTGTCACATCTGAGCCTAATGAATAACAAGATCACTCGAATTGCCAACCTTGACCATCTACCTCTGAAATTCTTGAATCTGGTGAGTAAATATCAACATTTGTAGATTAATCAATCGCATTGCAACAAACTGAACCTCCAAGTTCAACCACTTCATTTTCAAAACTCAATTTTTTCCAGTCAAAGCACTATCTAATGGTAAAAAATTGACAATTTTCTTAAAAGATTTTCACTGTGCTTATGAAATAATCTCCTAACTACTGCAGTTAACTGACTCAAGTGTTATTTTATGTTTTTAGAGTAACAATAATATCAAGAAAATTGAAAATTTAGAAACCTTAAAATACCTAGAGGTGAGTGTCAGAGTTTCCCCTGTTAATTTGTGCTTATTTTTTCAGTGTAAACATTGGGAATCACTACAAGGTAGCGCCTATTTATCCCTATTGTATCTTTACCTCTTTTGTCAGGTTATTAATTTGTCAAGGAACAGTATTAGAAGCATGAAAGGTCTTCAGAACCATAAATTACTACAAGAGATTGACCTGGAGGAAAACCAGGTTTGTGAGTTAATACATCACACTGATATGAACTATTATTCTGTCAGCGCTGTTAGAAGTAAGAACTGGAATGTCCAGGATTTATTGCAATCACTTTATTGGCATTTTTTAGATGAACTACTTTATGAAGCAATGAAAGCAAATGGCGCATTATAATCTTATTGTTTTTGGTAGATAATTGACATAGCTGAAGTAAGGTACATCAGAGAACTGAGTTTGCTGCGGAACCTGAATTTCCTTGATAACCCAATACAGGTATAAAATGTGACATTCCTATCCCCTCCCACTCCCCCACAGGTAATTACATTGTAGAAAATTGTATTATTATTTTTTTCATTTTATTTGCCACACAATAATAGAAATTACAAATAATATAGGAAAAGTGAGGAAAATAATTTGCAAGGAGACTTAACAGAAACTATAGGAGCTTATGAGAAGTTAGGCGTCCTCTAACTGCAGGCTAGAGCTGTTTACATCAATTGAAGAAAAGATGGCGAAAGTCGGAGATGTAAAGATGTATGATCGGTTTTCATATTTGCTTAGTAATGAAATCTTCAGTATTTTCTTAAAGGAGGAAAGGGATTAAAGGCTGATGACCTCGTTGTCAAGTGAATTAAAAAACTTAGGTCCTTGAATAAAAGCTTTTCACTATAAAAGCAACTTCTCAAAGGCCTGAGAAGATTGTCATTGTAAGTCCTGATATAGTTTACTGTCTGTACACAGGGTATGCCAGACTACAGACTTTCCTTGTTATTTAGAATACAAAGTCTGACGGAGTTGGATCGCTCCAAAGTCTCAGTCGAAGAAAAGGTACAATAATGAATTTACTGTAATATCATCTGTCATTACGCTCAGCTCATTAATTAAGTAAGTTCTATTTTTTGCTGAAGTATATGTCCCAGATAACGCACTCTTCACTCTGTTTACGTGTCTATTATCTTGGTGAATGTCCCACATTTATTTATCTTACCCATTTGAAGGAACTTAGGTAACAGATAAAGTAAATTGGTACAAAGCGATGGAAAATTGTCATTCGTAATTTGCTACAGTTACATCAAGTTGGTTAAAAATGTTTGATTATTAGCTGGTGACATTTTTGTTTATGGTGTATTTTCCTCTTTTGACTACTTTTCATTTACTTCTTAGGTTGCTGCTGTCAACATGTTTAATCCTCCCCCAGAGGTTGTAGCAGCACGTGATCATATGTTTCACGTGACCAAGTCTCTTATCCAGGCCACAAGAATTCATGACAGGTCAGTTGAGTAATGCACGTCCGTTCATTCATTTAAACGTCCTTCAAATGTAATACACTGGTCAACTTTAAACCAAGAAAAGTTCTTAGTCTGATTTTGGAACTAGATTACGGTTACGACCGAAAAAATATGAACAAAGTTAAGAAAAAGTACGGATTTTACAAATTCATTACCTTTCAAAGGTGGAAAGCTAAACTATACTTCCTGTGCGAGTTTTGTGAACTTTTTAATTGCAGAGTGTATCATTTTGTGACTTTTCAAAGTATGCAAATGGTGTAATAATTGAACTTAAAAGGGGACTGTTTAAGTCACCGATTGTTCCTCTGTATAATTTTGTTTCCAATGAAAGTAGCCAGGGTACATGCTCATGGAAGCCGGGGGAAATCCCTTGTCCCCGGCCTCCGACCCTTAGTAAAAGCCCTAAGCGCTGCTAAGTTATAGTCAATATACCCAGTTCTTATTTATGATCTCTCTCTCTTTCAGTACCCTCCCGAGTGTGGATACTCCATATCCTATGTTAATCTTGTGCGGTCCCCCCGGGTCTGGCAAACGATATCTGGCTAGAAGACTTTGTCAAGAGTTTCCAGACTTCTTCGGCTTTGGGTGAGAAAGAAATTTCGATTAAGCTTTTGTTTTAAGTTGTTGAGAGGCTAGTTGCAAGAAAGGTGTTGTGCAAGAAAGTCTTCAGACTGATTTACTGACATTGCAAAGTTGCTGACATGAATCAAATTTCGCAAATCTATCGAAAATCACGAAGTGGTGAATAGGAATCCATCCTGTGCCACGTTAATTAAGGGCCACTTACATGTACGTAAAAAGGTACCCTCAAACGAAGCTTTTACTTGCAACACAGAGTCTGCTTGCAACGTTAAGATTTATGTAACGTAACTTGTCTGTTCCCATGTATTAAGCCGTTATTAGGGGTGGGAATAGTCTGAAATGTCATCCGTCTCTTCGCCACACCCTTCCCCTCCATCCCCCCTCCCCTCCCCCTCCCCCCTCCCCCCTCCCCTACTTACGGGCGGCAAGGCGAGAGAGACTGATTCTGAATTCCCAGCGTTATAATGCCGCCCCGTCTCTCTCGCCTCGCCGCCCGTTGGGGGGTGGGGTGAAGAGACGGGTGAGTTTTCAGACTAGGGTGGGAAGGGATACGAAAACGTTTTTGAGTCTTTGAGAAAAAAACTTTATTATCAACCAAATTTTTCCACACTTGTGGATACACTGGTTAATGTTCAAACGTCATTTCCTTCGTAGCATCTGTCACACAACAAGATCGCCTCGTACCAAGGAAGAAAATCTTGAAGATTATTTTTTCGTAACGCAAGAAGAATTTGAACAAGGGGTAGTGATGGTGAGATTCCACTCTGCCCTTGATTATCTTCCGCTTTTCATCTTTCCTTTAATGTGTTAGTTACTCGATTTCCCTTCCTTTTTTGACCTTTTCTTTTTTTCTCTACTATCCTATTCCATTTTCATTTCATTTTGTTTTTTTCATTTTATTGTCATTCATTTGCAGGGCAAGTTCCTTCAGACTTGCCAGCTAGCGGGAAACTGGTACGGAGTCACGAGAGAGGCCGTGGAAAATGTGGCCCGCGAGGGACTTGCTGCAGTGTTTCATCTTCCTCGCTCCCAAAATGTGGGTTTATTTCAAAGATGTTTTGGGCCCAGTAACCGTGGTAGCCTTTATCGATGTTTTTTACTATAGGGGATATCCAGATAGCATTCACACCCAAGCCTGTGATATAATCCAGGTGCTTCTCAATGCCTTTAAACGTTCCACCACAATAATCCTTCAGATCAGAACACTTTTGAGATGGCAGTTGACCGGATGGGGCAAATCTATCTGTGAGGATCTTGAAAAAAATAAATTTCATTATCTTTCTCTTTTTTTTATTTTTACCATTTATGTGTTTGCTTATTTCTGTATTAAGTAGCTGTTTTAGTACTTATGTGTGACCGGTGGTCGTGTGAATTGTACTCACCTGAAGGTCTTGTGACTTTAATCATGATTTTAACGTAAACAGTAAAGTCATCAATAAAGTTTATGGATTAAATAATGACATGGGTTTAAATTTTTTGAAAGTCGAACGATGACTGCCATAATATCTTCCGGGGGAGTTACACTGCGCATTCTTTGTTGATGGTGTGACACAGGGACCCGATACCCAACCTACTCATACCACTAGGAGCCGGCTGATACTGAGAAGCTTTGGACCCAGTCTTCTCTCGACCAGACAACCATAGCGATAAGGGCGCTAAGTATTGCAGTTAATCTATACCTACCGTTGTTCTTAATGGCCCTGCTGAATGGTTTTCTCAGAAATTGCGTGTTTTGTCTTTTATGATCTAGCGACTGTATACCCAAGCGGCTTATTTAGATCCCCCACCCCTTGCGACTTACTTAGACTGATCACTCCAACCCAGGCGAGATCGACGCAAAATGCAGTCTCTCTTATCGCTGATTGCAATCTGTGGTAAGGTTGTTGTAACGACAGGTGAAAGCACTAACTAGCACAAAAAATTCGAATTTCTAACTACAGAAAATTCCTGCGAATATCAAGTGCTTATCTCAGTAATTTTGAAGAATGAGAGAAAAATAGAAATACGAAGTCATTTGTTCTGGCTAAACCAAGTACAAACAGCACCTGCGAAACGTTAATCAACTTTGGTGGATTGTGTGACGTCCGAGCCTAACACACAGGGGTGGGGGTACTCAACAAACTTTCAAGAGATACGGGGAGGCTCTTCTCCGAGATCCAGCCGCTTACTCTTTTTCAGTATACCATTTTTGACAAGAAAAGCCAGGTACCCCTTTCGTATACCTTCGATCATTGAAAGATGGTCCCTCTCTCACTTACCCGTTCAGTAAGAATAAATTACTTAAGCTGGAAGTCCTCTTGGTATCTTCGTGTAACGTTTATAAACACATTAAAACGTCAATATACCCATATCGCGTGTCTTTCGAAACATTTTAGTGAAAGGACCTTAAATGACAGATTTTACTACCCTTTCAATATTTCAACTAGTGAATTGCCCAGCCTTGGATATACCTATAAAACCTAAGAAGGGTACCATGCCACTTTCTGGCTTTCCCTCCCTTTATAGGTCATGCATTATAAGAAGTGCTTCCCCCGGGCCTTGCAAGAAAGCCCATCGGTTCCAAAACCTTTCTCTGACTTTCTCTTTAGCGTCTGCAGCATAATAAGATAGTTGTTATGACAAATTTCTCGGATGTCTGAGATTGCATTGTGTATCAGTCTCGCATAATATATACAGAACAGTGAAAACAGTCACTGGGTGGTGTTGAGGAACTGTCTTTTTGAGTGATGAGAAGGTTGATCAAGGAAATTACCTGATATATGATTCTTCCTTTCCATTCTTCGGCTGTTTTCCCGTTGCAGTGAGAGAAGATAAAAGCTAATAGAAGAGACGACTTCAGAATTGTTTGAAAGGTCATGTTTCCACCAAAATATAAATGTGCAACTCGTCAGTCTCAAATTATCTCGCACTATTTTCAATAGTTCGCTGCATGACGTCTTTAGTCACGAGTTCAAAATCTACTCAAAAATCCTCGGCTCCAATGGGTTAGCATTCTTTCTCATGTATATTATCACCTATGACGAATTAACCCGATTGTTGGGCCAAAATAAGTTTACAAGCTCAAGATTATTATCTCTTTTTATTCACCTTTAATACGGACATGTGAGCGTCATCTACTGGGGAAAAAAGCATACCCCCGAACCTGGCTGATTTGTATAAGAGAAGTCTTGCGCGCGTGACGAGGTCGGTCATAAGGTGGAGATGGCCTGGAATCTAACACTGTTACTTGGAAACAGAAACAGACGTACAAAATGGCGGACCACACATAAGATTGTACCCACAAACAAACTGGTCGCGTTTAACCTTTTTACTTGGCTCTTATCCGGAATAAAATGACTGCAAGGAGTGACAGCGGAAATAAAGATGCTGGCGGTTCAGAGAAGTTCGAAGAAACTCGTTCTGCACACAGTAGTCTTGAAAAGAATGATGTGGGTAACAACCAAGCTGCTGTAGAATCGCGTTCTAATGGAGACGAAAATCGTGCTGAAGGTACAAGTTTGGAAGTTGAAGAAGACCAGGTAATTGTGTGAGCACTTTGGTTTATTTCAGTAAAGCTATAGGATTTGAAATTTGTTTTAATATCCTATGTAAGAGCACTAAGGACAATTTGAAGCAATTTACCACCATACATGAAGCTGTTTTGCAACTAGAAATACGTGAATCGCAGGACCTCGCGTAGCACTTTGGGGGAACGGCAAGCAGTAGGAAGAAAAGGAAATATTAAAGGCAATAGAGAAGAAAATTTATAAATTTAAAAAACTTACGCTATGTAACGAAACAAAACAAAACTACAATAACTAAAAAAACTAAACAAAAAGGAAAAAAGAAAAGGAGAGAAAAAGAAAAACAGCTTCCCTCCGGAAACGAACTCGGTACCCTCTACGTGCCAGGCCATTTTATTACCACTTCACCTCATGCTCCGTGACATCACACATTAGATGACATCAGGGCGGACACTGAGCGATATATAGATTCATATATAAATAGAAATATGGGGCGTCCAAGTTTGCAGCTGGCTAAGACTGCACATGCTGTGTGCACCACAAGATTATAAACTCTCTTCACGAGGAATAAATTTAAGTTGAAATTAAATAATTTGAGATAAGTTTTTAGTTTAGTCTTTACCAGCTTTTCTGGACACAGGTCCTGCCCAGAGGGAATAGGTCCCATGCAAAGTGCCATCCCTACCCAATCCCACAACCAGTAGAGGTTGGCCACACCACCAGGGGGTCAACGTCCTCTTCTCTTCTCAAACAGTGGTGTGGGTTCTTTAACGTCCCACAAGAACAGATCAGTGAAAGTGCTGTGAGATGGGACCTACAGTTTTTGTCCTTATCCTAGAAGACTAAAAGTCTAACCATTTGCAGATGTCATCACTACAAAGGCAGCACTTTCTTCTCAGTTATTTAAAGACCCTGAATGTTGGTCTGGCCGGGATGTGAACTCCCGCTTGGCAGACCGGCGCTCTCCCAACTGAGCTAACAAGGCGGTGGTTTTAGTATTTTAGTTTGACTGTGTTTCTTTAATAATTTACATGCACTTTGCTAAGGAACCTGAAGAAGATGAGTTTGAAGAGATGATAGCTGAAGGACTTTCCCAGTTGGGAAGATCGGCTGATGGAACTCTTCAAGTTTATCTTAATCTCTTCCTTCCTGTAAGTACGCTTTTTGCCATCATTCATAACATTTTTGCCTTTAAATATTCAATCACTTCTGATTTTATTCTTTTTGTTTGTTTTGATTGTATTCTTTTTGACTGATGACTTTTTAGGGATGTGGACTGACAGATATTACGTGCCTACAAGAATATGTTCACTTACAAACCGTAGTTCTTTCACACAATTCTCTTACAGGTACCTATAAGAATAGACATATCTAAAATTTTGCATTTTCTTTTTGTGAACTTTGCATGTTGTGAATCAACAGATTGTTAAGGAACTTTTTTGTTGCTGCACATACATGCATTATTTTTTATGTGCGTCACGGGAAAGTCCAATTTGTTCTTTCCTTTAACTCCCGCAAAAGTATTTTTCTGGTGAAAATGTTTTTATCATGATCATAGTTTATCTTGGCAAAAGCTAATAAGTCCAAAACTATGATTGTACATAGTTGAGCGAGATTCCCTATAGGTAACTGTGGTTTGTATCAGGAGATCCTTTTCTTTGATGTGTGAAAAAATATTTTCTTTGCATTTGATACTGTTGTGCAACAAACTTCAACAATAACAATCTTTTTACTTGAGAAGGGGACTGTTACCTACCACTTTTTGGGAAACGAATCTAAAATCCTGTCCTTTAAAATACTGAAAAAGATCATGAGGCTTGTATACTTGAGACTTGTCATGGGCATTTCCTAACTGATACTAATTACTTTTAAAAATCTGCTATGCTCCAGGAGCCAGTAACATAAACCGTCAAGTTGAACGTAAGAGCTAATGTCAGACATTCAGCCCACCAATCGCCTAACTTTAACACCAGGCATTGGGAGTTACGTCTGACATTAGTTTCTATGTAACTGACCCCAGGATAATTTCCTTTCACTGCATACTTATATTCTCTGTTTATCCAATTATTAGATTTAAATCCATTAGGCAGCATGCCATATTTGGTATCACTTGATGTATCACACAATCAACTCAGCTCTGTTTTAGATTTCTCTCCTCCACTTGGTCTGAGGGTAAGTGAACTTAAACAGATGACTTTGAACTTGGATGCTGCCACTAAACTGAGAACATTATTAGGCTGCATTCATTACTGCAAAGGAATTAGGAGATATATATTTTATTAAGTGAGCAATATCTTTTAGATCTCCCACATCGTCAAAAATTGATGTCTCTCATCTTGACCAAAAGAAAAAAATTACATCACTCTTCCCCAACCCTCTTGAGTAGGAAAGTAAATAACTGACAGTTTTCACCTGAAAATCCTCTTCCACCCCAACCCCCTCCTGTGGTATACATAATGACTACAGCTTGATTAGATTTTTTTTTAAATTTTTGTTTTGTTTTTTATTGACACAGGAGGTGAACCTGTCTCACAACTGTATAGAAACACTTCCTGATCTTTCAGCTCATCATTGCTTGACAACTCTAATACTGGACTGTATCCTCATAAACTTGCATTTTAATTTAATTAATGTAATATATTTGTAACATTATCTGTGTAGAAAATAATCATTCCAAGGCTAATAGAAAGGCTCTTCTTTACCTGTACTGATTAACGGGTGTGTAGTGTTTTGAATTTCTTGGTCTCTATTTCATCCAATGGCATACGACATGCTGTTTTATGGCCTTAACATTTGGATTTACAGCTAATTACATATCAGAGATCCAGGGTTTGTCTAACTGTTATCGTCTGTCACATCTGAGCCTAATGAATAACAAGATCACTCGAATTGCCAACCTTGACCATCTACCTCTGAAATTCTTGAATCTGGTGAGTAAATATCAACATTTGTAGATTAATCAATCGCATTGCAACAAACTGAACCTCCAAGTTCAACCACTTCATTTTCAAAACTCAATTTTTTCCAGTCAAACACTATCTAATGGTAAAAAAATTGATAAATTTCTGAACAGGTTTTCACTGTGCTTTATGAAATAATCTCCTAACTATTGCAGTTAACTAACTCCTGTGTTGTTTTATGTTTTTAGAGTAACAATAATATCAAGAAAATTGAAAATTTAGAGACCTTAAAATACCTAGAGGTGAGTGACAGAGTTCACCATATTAATTTATACTTATTTTTACAGTGTAAACATTGGGAGTCACTACAAGGTAGCTCCTACTTATCCCTATTGTATCTTTACCTCTTTTGTCAGGTTATTAATTTGTCGAGGAACAGTATTAGAAGCATGAAAGGTCTTCAGAACCATAAATTACTACAAGAGATTGACCTGGAGGAAAACCAGGTTTGTGAGTTAATACATCACACTGATATGAACTATTATTCTGTCAGCACTGTTAGAAGTAAGAACTGGAATGTCCATGATTTATTGCAATATCAATTTATTGGCAATTTTTTGATGAACTGCTTTATGAAGCAGTATTAGTCACTAAAATGCCAGCAAATGGTGCCTTTGTTGCTTATTATAATCTTATTGTTTTTGGTAGATAATTGACATAGCTGAAGTGAGGTACATCAGAGAACTGAGTTTGCTACGGAACCTGAATTTCCTTGATAACCCAATCCAGGTATGAAATGTGACATTCCTATCCCCCTCCACTCCCCCACAGGTAATTACATTGTAGAAAATTGTCTTACCGTTATTATTTTTTTCATTTTATTTGCCACACAATAATAGAAATTACAAATAATATAGGAAAAGTGGGGAAAATAAGTGGTGAGGAGACTCAACAGAAACTATAGGAGCTTATGAGAGGTTGGGCCTTCTCGAACTACACGTACACGCTAGAGCTGCTTACATCAATTGAAGAAAAGATGGCAAAATCGAGTCAGAGATGGAAAGATTTAAGAACGGTTTTCAGATTTACTTAATAGTTTTTATAATCTTCAGTATTTTCTTAAAGGAGGAAAGGGATTAATAGCTGATGACCTCGTTGTCAAGTGAAAAACTTAGGTCCTTGAAAAAAATATTTTCACTAAGCAACTTCTCAAAAACCTGAGAAGATTGTCATTATAAGTCCTGATTTATTTTACTGTCTGTACATAGGGTATGCCAGACTACAGACTTTCCTTGTTATTTAGAATACAAAGTCTAACAGAGTTGGATCGCTCCAAAGTTTCAGTTGAAGAAAAGGTACAATAATGAATATACTTTAATATCATTGTCATTATGCTCAGCCCATTAAGTAAGTTCTATGTTTTGCTGAAGTATATGTCCCAGATAACGCACTCTTCACTGTGGTTACGTGTTTATTATCTTGGTGAATGTCCCACATTTATTGATCTAACCCATTTGAAGAAACAGATGAAGTAAATTGGTACAAAGCAATGGAAAATTGTCATTCGTAATTTGTTACAGTTACATCAAGTTAGCCAAAAATGTTTGATTCACAGCTAGTGACATTTTTGTTTATGGTGTATTTTCCTCTTCAGACTACTTTTCATTTACCTCTCCCATAGGTTGCAGCTGTCAACATGTTTAATCCTCCCCCAGAGGTTGTAGCAGCACGTGATCATATGTTTCACGTGACCAAGTCTCTTCTCCAGGCCACAAGAATTCATGACAGGTCAGTTGAGTAATGCACGTCCATTCCTTCATTTAAACGTCCTTCAAATGTAATGCACTGGTCAACTAACCAAGAAAAGTTCTTAGTCTGATTTTGGAACTAGATTACGAAAAAATGTGAACGAAAAAATATGAACAAAGTTAAGAAAAAGTACGGATTTTACAAATTCGTTACCTTTCAAAGGTGGAAAGCTAAACTATACTTACTGTGCGGGTTTTGTGAACTTTTTGTTGCAGAGTGTATCGTTTTGTGAGTTTTCGAAGTATGCAAATAGTGTAATAATCGGACTTAAAAGGGGACTGTTTAAGTCACCGTTATTCCTCTGTATAATTTTGTTTCCTGTGAAAGTAGCCAGGGTACATGCTCGTGGAAGCCGGTGGAAATCCCCGGTCCCCGGCCTCCGACCCTTAGTAAAAGCCCTAAGCGCTGCTAAGTTATAGTCAATATACCCAGTTCTTATTTATGATCTCTCTCTCTTTCAGTACCCTCCCGAGTGTGGATACACCATATCCTATGTTAATCTTGTGCGGTCCCCCCGGGTCTGGCAAACGATATCTGGCTAGAAGACTTTGTCAAGAGTTTCCAGACTTCTTCGGCTTTGGGTGAGAAAGAAATTTCGATTTAGCTTTTATTTTTAGTTGTTGAGAGGCAAGTTGCAAGAAAGGTGTTGTGCAAGAAAGTCTTCAGACTGATTTACTGACATTGCAAAGTTTCTGACAAGAATCAAATTTCGCAAATCTATCGAAAATCACGAAGTGGTGAATAGGAATCCATCCTGTGCCACGTTAATGAAGGGCCACTTACATGTACGTAAGAAGGTACCCTCAAACGGTGCTTTTACTTGCAACGTTAAGATTTATGTAACGTAACTTGTCTGTTCCCATGTATTAAGCCGTTATTAGGGGTGGGAATAGTCTGAAATATCATCAGTCTCTTCGCCACACCCTTTCCCTCCATCCCCCCTCCCCCTCCCCCTCCCCCTCCCCTATTGAGTCTGAATTCCCAGCGTTATAATGCCGCCCCGTCTCTCTCGCCTCGCCGCCCGTTGGGGGGTGGGGTGAAGAGATGGGTGACTTTTCAGACTAGGGTGGGAAGGGATACGAAAACGTTTTTGAGTCTTTGAGAAAAAAAACTTTATTATCAACCAAATTTTTCCACACTTGTGGATACACTGGTTAATGTTCAAACGTCATTTCCTTCTTAGCATCTGTCACACAACAAGATCGCCTCGTACCAAGGAAGAAAATCTTGAAGATTATTTTTTCGTAACGCAAGAAGAATTTGATCAAGGGGTAGTGATGGTGAGATTCCACTCTTCTCTTGATTGTCTTGCGCTTTTCATCTTTCCTTTAATGTGTTAGTTACTCAATTTCCCTCCCTTTTTTGACCTTTACTTTTTTTCTCTACTATCCTATTCCATTTTCATTTCATTTTTTTTTTCATTTTATTGTCATTCATTTGCAGGGCAAGTTCCTTCAGACTTGCCAGCTAGCGGGAAACTGGTACGGAGTCACGAGAGAGGCCGTGGAAAATGTGGCCCGCGAGGGACTTGCTGCAGTGTTTCATATGGACTTACAGGTTTGAAATTTTGTTCAAGTTACATTAACGTCAATCAACGTTAATTATTTTTAACGTCAATCACGTTAATTATTTTTAATCATGCTGCTGAAGGAGAACACGAATAGAAACGAATCATACGATTACAACTTTTAAAACACAAGAGAACAATAAGCTACAATAATTAATAAATCAAGAACTGTACACAAAGAGGAAGGGGATCATGTCAATACATTCTTTTACACAAATGGAGAACTGAATATGGCTCTTGATACCCGGCACATTGAAAGAGAAGGATCATTTCAGCTGCGTTAACTTCTTCCTGCTTTANTTTTTTTCATTTTATTGTCATTCATTTGCAGGGCAAGTTCCTTCAGACTTGCCAGCTAGCGGGAAACTGGTACGGAGTCACGAGAGAGGCCGTGGAAAATGTGGCCCGCGAGGGACTTGCTGCAGTGTTTCATATGGACTTACAGGTTTGAAATTTTGTTCAAGTTACATTAACGTCAATCAACGTTAATTATTTTTAACGTCAATCACGTTAATTATTTTTAATCATGCTGCTGAAGGAGAACACGAATAGAAACGAATCATACGATTACAACTTTTAAAACACAAGAGAACAATAAGCTACAATAATTAATAAATCAAGAACTGTACACAAAGAGGAAGGGGATCATGTCAATACATTCTTTTACACAAATGGAGAACTGAATATGGCTCTTGATACCCGGCACATTGAAAGAGAAGGATCATTTCAGCTGCGTTAACTTCTTCCTGCTTTAAGCGTTAAACCGAAGCGTAGATTTAGCGATCCTAGTTGTCAAAACACTGCGGCCAACATCTGTTATATCGGTGCTCTTGTTAAATACCTTGCTGTAAGGGACTTTAGTTGGGGAAATTGTGTGATTTATTTTACTTAAATGTACTAAAACGTACACAAATAAGTGCTAAAACGTTTATACGTTATTCTTTAATAGGGGGTCTTGAGTTTCAAGAACACCTATTTTGAACCAAGATATGTTTTGGTGGTTCCTGTATCAAAGGAGGTGAGAATGTAAAGAACTGCTTCAGTTTGATCGTTAATTTATTTGCCATCAGAAGGTATCTGTTCCCAGGGAATGTGTCACTCAAGGATGCGGCGCAGTGTAAGATATGTAGATCACGGGGTTCTGAACACTGCAAGCTATTACTGTGAACTGAACTCAATGTATTAGTTATTTTGTATTTTCATTTGAATGATGTGTTTTTCTATGCTCGAAAAGTCGTCGCGAATATTAATAAACAGGCCCAATGGCACACTTCACAATGTTTTTACAACTCAGAGTTTTGCGGTTGTCGTTGTTTTCAGATTCATGTCGCCCGCCTCCGTGAACGCGGTGATTATGCAGAGCCTATGTTACTCCAATCATTAGAGCGAGCTGATACGTGTCTACACCACAACAGAGATAACCCTGGTTTCTTTGACATGGCTATAAGCAGCGGTAAGAAATTACGTGGTATTCATCCCTCAAAACAAGGAAATGTCTTTCTGTTTCGTCGTAGTAATTTTTATTTTATTTTCTTAACCACAGATGATCTTAGCGACGCTTATAAGCGTCTTAAACGTCTTATTATGGAATACTTGGGCATGTCACCTCCGTCAACAGTGCATTCCGATCTGTTCAGCGGTAGCATGACATCAGTTGATACCAGCCAATCAGAAGAGACCTTACATCAAGCGGATAAATCTGGTACCAGTCAAACTACAAGTATCACGGTCAACATGGCAGTGAGAACCTGGTCACGTCCATCCGACTCCTCCACCCTACCCTCCAAGGGCATTAAATTAAAGCAGCACAGAACACCAGTGGTGAGAGAAGTTTTACATGTGAATATTTTTTATTTCGAAAACAATTTTTTGTCAACTCTTAGTTTATCACTCGGCTCTTCACAAGCTTGCATGGGTAAAAAACAACTTTGAAGCGTCCCCAATATCCGTAGAACTTGTAGTACGTGTCCTAAGTAAACCAACAATACATAGCCTTCTAACGAACGTTCACTTAACCTGAAGATATATTCCATTTTTTGTACCTGTTCCTCCTTCTAGGAAATCCTGTCACTTGAACGTCGACAGACCAAAGCCAAGGCGGCAGTGGCGGGAATTCATCAGGTTTCACTGGAGCAATTTATGACTTCAAGGTATACACAATAACTGAAACCGATAACTGTTGGCGCTTGTCCCTTTATTACTTAGCTGTTTATCACGTCACGAAGTCATCCTCATCTCCTTACTAACAGGTAGCATTGCTTCAAACTGTTTAATTTTCTGTTTGGAAAGTTATTTCTTTGGTTCAGTGTAGTTGTATTTTCAGTTTAACGTTCGTTTTCCCCAGTATCGTTGAATGTCTTTTATTAAAGAGGGACACGGCTTCTATATCACTTTTTCCTCTATGTTCCTCGTGGATAAACACGTGGCCTGATTATTCATGTTTCAGACAGGCAGTTTCAGCCAGTTTGCAGCCATCAACAGCGCACTTTTCCTCCTCCGGGGTCAAACGCTCCACATCAGAACCTCTCAATTTCAACCCCTCATTGGCCTCCATGGTCGCAAACGCCAGCAGTCAAAATGAGGCGAGAGAAGCGGGCCTGGAATCGAACATCTCTGAATCGGACGAAGATCAGGAATCCGCTTCATCCATCATATCTTCTGCGCGTGCGTACTCTGATAACGGAGTCCAGTCCCCAAGAGACTCGGACGAGCAAGAAGGGGAAGACTCGAGAGACTTGCTGGATTTCATTCCAACGGAGACACTTGACTCACAAGAAACCGCATCTGCTCCATTCTCGGGTGTTTTTGGTCAAGTAGAAATTGCCAATTCTATATAACAATTTGATTTCTTATAATGCCTCAGAAGTAAGACACGTATAATTTCCACGTGGGAAAAAATTAAACTCACGAGCAGTAATACTTGAGTTGAAGATACCACTTTCCTATCGTTTGAGTGATCAATCCGTCTTTTGGAATGGAACCATGTGGCTTAGTAAAATTTGATTCATAAAGTGACAGAACTGTAAAATTTTACAGCTGAGTAAACTCGTGAAAGGCAAAAATATAGTTTACTAAAAGCGTCCATGCTCAAAGCCAACGTTGTACATTCGTATTTTTCTTTTCTTCGATATATTTTATGTTTTTGTAAATAGTTATTTAAGGTCTTTGTCCAGCTTTACAGGATATGAAGGCTCTCTTGCCCTTTTTCCCCTCTCCCCAGTCTCCTATGGGCACAATGCCAGGCCCATTTCTTGACGATATAAATAAAAACAGAAATTGCACTATTTTGTTTCCGGCTGCTGCGTCCTTCTGATACTTTTCTATTACTAGAGTAATGTCACCAAAAAATTCACGTCACTGTTCTTGTTCGACCTAAATAACGTATTCCTTAGCCGGTGTTTTTTTTTAAATTTTGTTTTGTAGTTGTCGTTTTTGTAACCTAAAATTAATCGTTGGAACTTTTGGGCGGCAAATTTCCTTTTAACGTTTTATTTTCTTTACTGGAAATTGGATTCTCCTTTCCATACTGAAGTAAAACGTGACAGACAAGTATAGTAATAAATCAATAAATATTAGCGGGACACTTTGACCCCAAAAAATATGGAATAGAATCAAGAAGTTTGAATTTTTACCATTTTAACAGACAAGTGAACAGCGTATGGGCTATTAATTTTCCTTCTAGGAGTAAAAAAAACACCCGATTGATTATTTAATATGAGCTTACCGAACTTTTTTTAATTCAGCAAAGCGTTGCTCATTATAGGGGCAAGGTGGCAGACCGTTTTTATTACTTATTATATTATATTTTATTAACCCGTCAGCTTCTTTTCACGCATGATTTTTAAATAAACGCACATTGTCACCGTTATATTGTTTCTTTGCTTTGCATACCTTAATTAAATCTCAAACTACTCCACCTTTGTACATATCAATTAAAAGAACAGTCCTGGATTTTAATATTTATTCACCGGAACCATGGTAACATACCTTGGCTTCCAAAGTGACTCTTCACAGCAATTAGAAGTAACTAAATTTTAATATTCACTATTATCAATGTTATAAGGAGAAGATCGTAAATATTTTGGACTTTTCTCAGAAAGCGAAGCACTGAAAAATATTTTTTGGAGTATTTGACGCAATCGATGCTCGCGCTAAAGAACCTATGACTCAACAAANACTCCACCTTTGTACATATCAATTAAAAGAACAGTCCTGGATTTTAATATTTATTCACCGGAACCATGGTAACATACCTTGGCTTCCAAAGTGACTCTTCACAGCAATTAGAAGTAACTAAATTTTAATATTCACTATTATCAATGTTATAAGGAGAAGATCGTAAATATTTTGGACTTTTCTCAGAAAGCGAAGCACTGAAAAATATTTTTTGGAGTATTTGACGCAATCGATGCTCGCGCTAAAGAACCTATGACTCAACAAACGGATCTCTACTTCTTCGATCAATGTTTCAGACGTCGAAAATACAAGCGCTATCGAAAACCTCAAGAGCTGTTGCCGTTTTCATTAAGGCTCACGGGACTTAGTGGAGCTGTTAAAGTCGAAGCCTATCTTAAACAACAACAACAAAAAGCTGGAGAAGGAAAAGAAGGCTACAATAAGGTTTCTGTGGCCGAGAAAGACAATGAAGCTGAGTCGCCATCTCGTGCAGGCCTGAATCGTAAGGATCGAGATGTTGATTTTGAAGGTGTAAAAAAATTTCACGGTGGAAAACCGTTTAACTTACCGGATATTGCAGCTCGTGGTGTTCATTCACCACCAGCCATAAGGAGCTATGAGCAGCTAGAGGGAGACGACGAAGAGGAGGATACACAGAGGTTCTTGTTCGAGGAAAATAAATTCGCGGCACCGAATCTGTTAGCGCAACTTGGACGATTAATTGATCACATACACGAGGTACAGTTGGAAGAATTAGAAGAGGTTCAGTCTAGTAGTGGTCACTTTAATAGCGGATCTGCGACACCCGTGCCCGAGGAAGAACAAAGTTTGATCTCTGAAACTATTCGCAGTGGAGGCGTCTTTATCCCACTACCAGACGATTTGCATAAGAAGCTGCGAGGAAACTTCGAGGAACTATCCGCCAATGTTGTGTATGTTCGCCGAGAATGGCAAACGACAAGTTATAGAGAGCAGGCAATTTTAAAGAAACGACTGGGTATCATGAGTGACTCACAAACGAATGTAGATGTGGCTAAGAGTCCTGATAAAAGTACAGTATCAGGAGAGCAAATCAAAACAAATGATGATATTAAGGCATCTGCACCTAAAGGATCCGAGTCAAAAGATTTCACTAAACGAAAACAATCAACTGTCGGTGAGACTACTTCGAAGATCGATTCTACCGATGATCACAGGAGAGAATCGCTTCTTGGTGTAAATACTCCAGACCTTAGTACGAGTCATACTGAGTTTCCAAGCCGTCGTGAATCATCATCGCGACTTTCGTTCATTACAAGTCGTTCTAAGACTCGGTTAGAGAGGTTCAAGGTATTTACGGATAAGGTTTCATCTGGTAAGTGATAATTTCACTTGTGTATTGTTTAGTTTCCCCTTCTCTAAAAAGTCAAAAAATATTTTGAATACGATACGAACAGAACTCGTAAATTTCAATGCAATTTTTACGAAATTTACATGACTTTAATAACATCTCTGCAGCTGCAAAGCATTTGAATGACTTCCTGTCACGATTTCCCGCGAAAATTAAGTCAATTATTTGATTTTATTATTTGTTATGTGCCACTGTCGCGGACCGTTATTTAATGAACGAAAAATCGGGCTATTTAATTCTTTTCTTCATTGTTAGCACTGAAAGATTTATTTTTCATATAATATCTTCAGAGAAAAGAAGAACTGCAAGTGGAAGTCACTTTGATGAGGATGAAGAAAATCAAAAAGATTTATCTGATGGTGAGTGGAAAAAAAGTTTTTGAATTATTAGTTTGCGGTGAGTGGAATATGCACTGTGTACACACTAGCAACTAGCAAGCGATGACCGGAAATACATCTGCTGTTTGTAGGCTAACTAGCTAACTAAATTAATTATTGTTTACATTTGTTTTGTTTCAGTTCATTCTGGTCATGGTACCTCAGGGCAACCAACTGTTATTAACTTCTCTCTTCTCTCAAAAACCTGTGAGGAAAAAGGTAACACTAACATTAATTTAAACATGTATATATTTTTGAGAAAAATTAAGTGTTTCATGAGAGGAAATACAGAAAATGTACTTGATCTATAATTATTGTAATTATAATTATTATTATTATTATTATTATTATTATTATTATTATTATTATTATTATTGTTATTTAATCATTTGCCTTATTAATGTTGTATTTGACAGGTTGGATTCTGCATCAAGATAGTGCAAGTGACCTTGAAAGACAAACATTGTTAGAATGGGCACGAGCTAGGCTACAGCAAGCTATAAGAGAAAAGTAAGATTCCTATAAATAATGTATTGGATTATACCAGCTCTGACACAGTGTATGCCATGTTAATTTATAAGTGTAACTTGTTCATAAATGCTGATTAGCTTTGGTGTTCTTTTGCTTTCATTTGACTGTTCATAATCAAGTATTACCCAGGCTCCAATTTTAATACATTTTCTTAAAAAAAGGATTTTGTTACAGGATCAGAGTAAAACCCATCAGTGTTATTGTAAATATTGCTATTTACATCATCATCATCATCATCATCATCATTATTATAATCATTATTACTATTATCATCATTAGTACATTATTATTATAATCACTATTATTATTATTATTGAAAATTATTATGATTACAGTTGAACCTCTCCACAATGGCCATCTTGAGGAGCGAAGAAAGTGGCCATTCAAAAGAGGATTGATGTATGGATGTATGGATCGCCCACCAAATAAAATGGTCATTTTGGAGAGGTGGCCATTAGTGGAAGTTTTACTGTATGTTATTTTTATTAGTAGTAATTACTATTGTTAATTTTATCACTGATTTTCTCATAACTTTTTACAGGGAAGAGATGAACGAGAAAGCAAAGGAACTTGGTGTAGATGGCCCTCTAGTTACTAAATACTATGGAGACACTCAGAGGGAAGCTGCTATGAAGTACAAGAAGGGTGTATCATGGGCCAAGAGGTGGAAGAACCTCTCAGATGAGGACAAGAGACCAAAGTTTCTCACCAGCTTACCAGATGGCACCTCTTATTGCTAGTATCTTTTATAAAGTACAAAAACTCTACCGGTATCGTATCCCTGATGTAACCAGACCTTGGTCAGTGGGGGAAATATTATTCCTTTTCCTTTGTCTAGGCACAGCTTTCTTAGAGCTTAGAAATTAAAGGCCAGAAATCCACCAGTCTGTTCTTTTCTCTAAGAATTCACAAGATCTTTCCCAAGTTTCATCAAAGACTATGTCCCTTCCTGTTATTTTAGTAGGCAGATTTAGCAAAGACAATGCTATCTTTTGAATGAGATCACAAAAGGACCTGGTGCACTCAACTTCCGGTGTTCAATTTGCTGCTCTGTACAGACACCATTATCATTGTCATTGCATTGTCTTTGCTTAATCTGCCTAATGGAGGCACTCAGTAATATCCTTGTTACTGTATTTGTTGTCACCATGTTGTTATAATTCAAAGTTTTGTATTCTTTAACGCAACTGTTTTCAGCTACCCTTCTGGCAGAGTGGCTATATGTGCCATATACCCTGGTCCTAATATTGCTGGGAGGTACACTATAGTGTATGGAGACTCTGTTGACAATCCAATGTTAGCAATTTTTGTTCCAGCAGGACAAGGCTGCTGTTTCCACAAGAATGGAAGCATTAGGTAATAATATAAAGATATTAGGTGATTAATTCCTTAATGAATCTGGCTGCTACGAGTTAGACAGTCTCACACCTGAACCTGACTGTGTTTCATCTTCTTTGATAGATTTGTCTCAACCACTAAATTTGGAGCTGTCATGGAGGATGTAAGTAGAAGTGGAATTTTTACCTTTTCACAGTTTTCTTTTGTGTTCATGTTTTCCCAGCAAACAGAGATCTTCAATAGTATGAGATGCTTTATATTCCTTGGATTCAGTCTGGCTGGTTTTATAGACTGTACTTCATACATACTCAATACATACTTCCTCCTCAAAGCCAGCTGAGTACAAATTTAATCCAACCAAGGGGAGACTGAGTATATCTCAGCTTCCAATACTAAAAAGTATTGGAGCTGGTGGTAAAACCCACCTTTCTCGGTTACACAATTTACTCTATCTCTTTTGACTTCCACCCTTCCATCTTTATCATGTATTTTTCTAATATTTTTGATAATGGACTGTTGACTGTGTTCAGGATGGCAAAGTGGAACAGAAGTGGAAATGGCCTCTTGGAAGACTTCAAACAACTGTTGTAGTACAGGTAAGCACTCCATATAATTATCATGAACTACTGAGAGGTGCTTTTATGAAACAGCAAAATACTTGAGTTGAAGATACCACTTTCCTATCGTTTGAGTGATCAATCCGTCTTTTGGAATGGAACCATGTGGCTTAGTAAAATTTGATTCATAAAGTGACAGAACTGTAAAATTTTACAGCTGAGAAAACTCGTGAAAGGCAAAAATATAGTTTACTAAAAGCGTCCATGCTCAAAGCCAACGTTGTACATTCGTATTTTTCTTTTCCTCGATATATTTTATGTTTTTGTAAATAGTTATTTAAGGTCTTTGTCCAGCTTTACAGGATATGAAGGCTCTCTTGCCCTTTTCCCCCTCTCCCCAGTCTCCTATGGGCACAATGCCAGGCCCATTTCTTGACGATATAGATAAAAACAGAAATTGCACTATTTTGTTTAACTGCTGCGTCCTTCTGATACTTTTCTATTACTAGAGTAATGTCACCAAAAAATTCAAGTCACTGTTCTTGTTCGACCTGAATAACGTATTCCTTAGCCGGTTTTTTTTTTTAATTTTGTTTTGGAGTTGTCGTTTTTGTAACCTAAAATTAATCGTTGGAACTTTTGGGCGGCAAATTTCCTTTTAACGTTTTATTTTCCTAACTGGAAATTGGATTCTCCTTTCCATATCGAAGTAAAACGTGACAGACAAGTTTAGAAATAAATATTAGCGTGACACTTTGACCTAAAAAATATAGAATCAAGAAGTTTGAATTTTTACCATTTTAACAGACAAGTGAACAGCGTATGGGCTATTACTACTCTTTCTAGGAGTAAAAAAAACCACCCGATTGATTATTTAATATGGGTTTACCGAACTTGTTTTAATTCAGCAAAGCGTTGCTCATTATAGGGGCAAGGTGGCAGACCGTTTTTATTACTTATTATTATATTTTATTAACCCGTCAGCTTCTTTTCACGTATGATTTTTAAATAAACGCACATTGTCACCGTTATATTGTTTCTTTGCTTTGCATGCCTTAATTAAATCGCAAACCACTCCACCTTTGTACATATCAATTAAAAGAACAGTCCTGGATTTTAATATTTATTCACCGGAACCATGGTAACATACCTTGGCTTCCAAAGTGACTCTTCACAGCAATTAGAAGTAACTAAATTTTAATATTCACTATTATCAATGTTATAAGGAGAAGATCGTAAATATTTTGGACTTTTCTCAGAAAGCGAAGCACTGAAAAATATTTTTTGGAGTATTTGACGCAATCGATGCTCGCGCTAAAGAACCTATGACTCAACAAACGGATCTCTACTTCTTCGATCAATGTTTCAGACGTCGAAAATACAAGCGCTATCGAAAACCTCAAGAGCTGTTGCCGTTTTCATTAAGGCTCACGGGACTTAGTGGAGCTGTTAAAGTCGAAGCCTATCTTAAACAACAACAACAAAAAGCTGGAGAAGGAAAAGAAGGCTACAATAAGGTTTCTGTGGCCGAGAAAGACAATGAAGCTGAGTCGCCATCTCGTGCAGGCCTGAATCGTAAGGATCGAGATGTTGATTTTGAAGGTGTAAAAAAATTTCACGGTGGAAAACCGTTTAACTTACCGGATATTGCAGCTCGTGGTGTTCATTCACCACCAGCCATAAGGAGCTATGAGCAGCTAGAGGGAGACGACGAAGAGGAGGATACACAGAGGTTCTTGTTCGAGGAAAATAAATTCGCGGCACCGAATCTGTTAGCGCAACTTGGACGATTAATTGATCACATACACGAGGTACAGTTGGAAGAATTAGAAGAGGTTCAGTCTAGTAGTGGTCACTTTAATAGCGGATCTGCGACACCCGTGCCCGAGGAAGAACAAAGTTTGATCTCTGAAACTATTCGCAGTGGAGGCGTCTTTATCCCACTACCAGACGATTTGCATAAGAAGCTGCGAGGAAACTTCGAGGAACTATCCGCCAATGTTGTGTATGTTCGCCGAGAATGGCAAACGACAAGTTATAGAGAGCAGGCAATTTTAAAGAAACGACTGGGTATCATGAGTGACTCACAAACGAATGTAGATGTGGCTAAGAGTCCTGATAAAAGTACAGTATCAGGAGAGCAAATCAAAACAAATGATGATATTAAGGCATCTGCACCTAAAGGATCCGAGTCAAAAGATTTCACTAAACGAAAACAATCAACTGTCGGTGAGACTACTTCGAAGATCGATTCTACCGATGATCACAGGAGAGAATCGCTTCTTGGTGTAAATACTCCAGACCTTAGTACGAGTCATACTGAGTTTCCAAGCCGTCGTGAATCATCATCGCGACTTTCGTTCATTACAAGTCGTTCTAAGACTCGGTTAGAGAGGTTCAAGGTATTTACGGATATGGTTTCATCTGGTAAGTGATAATTTCACTTGTGTATTGTTTAGTTTCCCCTTCTCTAAAAAGTCAAAAAATATTTTGAATACGATACGAACAGAACTCGTAAATTTCAATGCAATTTTTACGAAATTTACATGACTTTA